TAATTAGTAGTCTAACCTGAAATTTTGCATATGTAACATTCTAGCAAGATGAATATCCAGCTGTGTAAAATGAGTTGGCTTGGGCTATATATTGCTGTCAGTTGCCTATAATCTGAAAAGTAGCAGGGAAATTTATTACAATTTGTTGGTATTTAAAAAGAGGCTTGCAGCCAGTTTATATCAGAATCAGTATTGTTTGGAGGTGTTGCCTGGAGTTCTGTATTTCACACACATCGGGTGATCTTAGCTGCATAAGAGTTGTAAGGACTTGCTTTAAGATGGTTAGTTAAGCGTACTGTTTTTATTTTTTGTTTTTATTTCTATCTTGTGTAAAGACAAAGGTTCATGTTTCATAAAACTTAACACCACTCAAGGATTTTAATCACAGGCCCCAGGTCTAGCTTGAAAGAAACAAATAGACTTGGTATTCTAAAGAGTGAACCAGACGGCAGCAGTGGGGTGCAAGCTGGGGAAGGAGTGGAGGTGGTGGGAGGAGGCACATTCTGTTGCCTGCATACTGCCCCCTTGGTTTGCCACTAATCTCATTGATTCCATTTTTACGAATTGTTAATCAGCAACTCTTTAAAATTGAGTGTTGTCTAGAATTGGGCTGATTACATATTGCCTTATTTGTTCATAAGCATCTTTTAGAATCTAATGAATGAGATGTAATTCCAGCAGCCTCCAGTTATAAGTGACTACAGTACGGGCTAAGTCGCTTCAGTCGTTTCTGACTCTGCTACCCTGTGGACTAGCCTGCCAGGCTCCTCTGTCCATGGGATCCTCCAGGCATGAGTACTGGGAGTGGGTTGCCATGCTCTTCTCTAGGGGATCTTCCCGACTCAGGGATTGAACCCATATCTCTCTGGTCTCCTGCATTGGCAGGCGGGTTCTTTACCACCAGCACTATCTGTAACTTTGGATAAAGACTAGGGCCCAAGGGACTGTAATTTAGAAGACAGCAATGGGGTAACTGCTAAGTGTTTTTCCCCACTAAGCCCTATGAAGGCAGATAGTTTGGAGGGACAGAAAGAGCATGAAGAGGACTTGATAACATTATTTTACTGTTTAAAAAAGGGTGAGCGACTTCACAGGAATGAGATCCTAAGTGAGCAAGGTGTTCTCTGTCACAGCAGTCCGAGTCAGTTATTTTAGCTGTCATGGGAGGAATTCTTTAGTCTTCAAAGAAAGTACAGACAGTAGCAAAGGTTCTATTCATTAAACATGGATATTAGGGTTACTGGGTTCTATTTTGAGAAACTTACATAAGTTGCTTAGGAAGATAGTTTATTTAAAGGTATACATTTTATTTATGTAGGCATATTGTTTTATTTTAGAATTTGAAGGCAAGGTTACTTTCCTGAATTATTAAAAATTTCTCTTAAAACACTAGAAGAAACTTAAGAGGTCTGTTAGTGCCAGTACCTAAATGTGACATTTAATATGTCATGGAAAGCTGTGCTTTTGAATAAATAAATACTTGAGGAAAGTAAGTATAATTGGCCCCTTTTTGTATGGATAGCCCTGATTACATAGGGCTTTATCACATATTTAGAAAATATTTGCCAATCTCAGACTGGTGAAGTGGAACCCTTTTTAGAAGAAATTAGAAGAGTGGGTTAGTTACAAGATTGGCTATGGCAATAAAGAAAACTTCGAAATGCTCAGAAATTTGTTGTAAATGGCTTCTCCAATCATTGATAAAGCATGCTACTACTAATCAGTTACATGTATTAAGGCCTATCAGCATGTCATTTTTAAAGAAACTGGTTGATTTGATTTTAAACCCAACGTGATGTTCTCTGTACCATCTGACATTTCCAGGCATACTTTCCCTAAGCAAATTCTGTTGGAACCAAGTGTTTCCAGTTCTAGGACTCTACTTCTAGAGTCTTCATATGGGCTTTAATGGGGTTTTGATTTGCACTAAACTTCCTTTTCTGACAAGATTACTCATGTTCAAATGACAATGTCGTGCTTTTGTTTTACAATTAAACTCTTACAGCAGTCATGCATTTTTTGCACTGTCTTTTTTCTTTTTTAATTTAAGCTTTCCCCTCTTGGGTGAGTTTCTTGAAATAAGATAGGTCTCACTTTCTTAGTTGAAAAGGTAAGGCAACTACTGTCAAGTCGAAAAGGACATAATGTTAAATGATGGGATTTTATGCATAACTGGTTAAATAATATTAAAGTTGAGATTATGATGGACTAAAAAAGGGCAATTTCTAGTTTTCTCTAGGATGTTATGAGAAAGGATGCCTGCAATAGGAGTAATCTCTATGGGGATGTTCAGTCTTTGCCCTCAACTGGGCTTGCTGTCAGATTGTGGTGAAACCACCAAAAGGCCTGGGAATGCATTTAATATCTTTGCAGACTTAACACATTTTTCAAAAAATGGCAAATTAGAGGTGTGCAATAGCAGTAATGTTAATCAAGGTACTTGTAGTCAATGTAAATACAGAAAAAGCCTAGCTGTTATTTCATTATATTTCTGTGTTTGTGTCCTCTGAGGACTCCTTTCAAGGGATGTGGGGGTCTCATTGTGCTGGCCTGCAAAGAGAGAGGCTGCCATTATTGTGTGGTCATAGTACTGAACAGGTGCCTCCCCTCAAATGAACTCTCTTTAACCAGCTTGTGATTTGTCTAAATGCAGGCTGGAATTAAATCATACATTCTGTAGTTCTAGGTTCTGCTAACATTCTATAAAGAGATAATGAACTTTCAAAAGTTAAAATAATTCTCAGACTTACTAGAATGTGTGGGACATTCTGTCTAGTAGATTATTTTTTAAATTCTTGTTTAGTATATTCAGTGGAATAGATATCAAATGAATGCTTCCTGAGGTTCTGCTCTGTCATTTGCCCTGTGATGTTGGGCAAATAAAATTTTAACTCCTCCAACAAGCATCAGTTTTTCCAGCTGTAAAATTTGATGTTCTTTAGGAGGTATGTGCAAAGTGTTTTGATGGTGGTTCTCAGCTTCATACAAAAAGTGGTCAGGCTTGAGGGGAGTAGACACAGAATTGCCCACCATGATGGGAAGGAGTGCCCTCTGCGAGGCTTGCTTGGGCACCTGCAGGGACTCCCTGCTTTTGCTTCTGTCACCCTTCTGGAGTTTCTTGCTATGAGGTTCCATGTAGTAGCCCTGTGATTTTCGTGAGTGATGCACAAAGATGAGATAAGCAGGAGGGAGGAGTTAGGGTAGGCTAAAGACAGTTCTAGGTTATGGAATAGTTGAAATACACTATTTGCAGTTTCCTGGGGAAGAGAAAAATATGTAGTTAAAGAGTTTCAGGATTTAAAATTTGAGGTGTTTGCATGATACCCATGTGAATGTCTCCAGTAGAAAATCATTGGTGATTCAGAAGGAAGGTTATTGCCAGAGAAGGCAGTGCTGTGGGAGTGAATAAAAACACCCCGGGTAGTGTGGAAAAGGAAGAGACCTGAAGTTTGGACTCTGCAGGTCCTCTGGATGGATGCATGTGTGCAAGATTGACCTCCCCAGGTCTAGCCCACCTTCTCCACTCACACAGCCAGCGGTTTATCCTCACTCCTCCTAATGACATTAGCCGGATGGAGGCTGGCAAGTTAACCTGTGCTTCAGTTTTCTTATCTGTAAGATGGGAAGAATATTATGTACCTCAAGGTTGTGAGGATTAAATAAGTATTTAAACAGTACTGGCACATCAGTGGTCAGTAACGTTAACGGGACTGCCTTTTCCTGTTGAGATAACTTTGATTTCCAGTAGGGTCCAGTTCCCATCCCTCTTAATGATTGGAGCCAGTGATGATCATTATCTTTCTTGTATTTATTCCCTGCCACACAATTACCATTTAAGTAGATGGTATTTTAGCGTGTTTATGATCTTTATGAGTCTTGCCTTCTCAACGGAACCGTAAGCTTCCCTTAACATCAGGACCACTTCTCACACTTGTGTATACAGCCATTCATTTCTTAAACACTGGTTATCTCTATCAGTATGGTGAAGTCGCTCAGTCATGTCCGTCTCTGCATAGCTTAGAATAAATCCTAATGTTCTAGGACTGTTTTGGTGCTGAGTAGGAACTCAATACTTGAACCCACAAGTGAAAAATCTAAGATTATCTAAGTATTTGTTCCTTTCTACTTGGGTATATTGTGACAGGTGTAGCACAGATAGCAGGGAAACACTCCTTACTAAATGAGTGCTTTCCTTCTTCCTGGCAGCTTTCAAGAGTTGGTAAAAAATGCACATCATCTGGAAAACAAACTCAGACTGCCTGGGGAAACAGGCATTCTGTGAGACTTGCTTCCTGGAACCAGGGTGATGACCTGTACTTTAAACAGTGCAAGTGGAGAAGAGGTTGCAAAGGCATGTAGTAACATAATAACATATAGCATAATATTCAGGCTTCTGGGTCTTGGCATCTCAATATGTAAAACTGAGGGCGGGGTGGTGGTTAGATGAGGTGATCTTTTAAGTTCCATGTCTTCAAGCAATAAATATGCTAGTATTCACTGGCAATCAGTGAAGCATTGTTTTATGAAATGGCAACCCACTCCAGTACAGTACTCTTGCCTGGAAAATTCCATGGACAGAGGAGCCTGGTAGGCTACAGTCCATGGGGTCGCAAAGAGTTGGACATGACTGAGCGGCTTCACTTAACTATACATTGTTTTATACATAATTATTATAAATTGCAGAAATATTAGGTAAATTTTATAGGGCTCAAAAATAATGCCAGCAAAACTAATGACAACATCTCTTACAAAACTTCAGAATCCTATCTCTACCCTCCAGAAACAACTACTAACTTGGCCCAAAGCAAAATAGTACTGATAATGTTGTCTGGCCCACAATTAAGCAGTCAGATAATATACTCTGAGTTAAATGTGGCTATATGGCTATATACTTCAGTCAGTACTTAGTCGACTCAGTAAAATCTCAGCTAACTATGTGATCTTGAATTTAACTTTGCTATTTTCTCATCTGCAAAGTAAAGATAAAGGTATGTCTAAGCCTAGACAGCATATTCAAAAGCAGAGACATTACTTTGCTGACAAAGGTTCATATAGACAAAGCTATGGTTTTTCCAGTAGTCATGTACTGATGTGAGAGTTGGACCATAAAGAAGTCTGAGGGCTGAGGAACTGATGCTTTTGAACTGTGGTGCTGGAGAAGACTTGAGAGTCTCTTGGACTGCAAGGAGATCAAAGCTGTCAAATCTTAAAGGAAATAAACCCAGAATATCATTGGAAGGACTGATGCTGAAGATGAAACTCCAATACTTTGGCCACCTGATGCGAAGAGCCAACTCACTGGAAAAGACTTTGATGCTGGGAAAGGTTGAAGGCAGGAGAAGAAGGGGATGACAGAGGATGAGATGGCTGGATGGCATCAGTGGACATGAGTTCTCAGCAAACTCCAGGAGATAGTGAAGGACAAGGAAGCCTGGCATGCTGCAAGTCCATGGGGTTGCAAAGAGTTGGACATGACTTAGCGACTGAACAACAACATTAACATAGCACTTATGAGCTTAGAACTACTGTTTTATGTGCTTTACATTATACTAACTTAATATAATCGTTTTTACCTCTTCATGTCATTGAAACACCTCACCCCCAAAGCACTTACTACATTATGTTGGACTGTATTCCCCCCTCCACCCCCCCCCCCGGGTATAAATTACAGAAACTCCAAAAATTTCTAACATTGAAAATGCTTTAATAAAAAATATTTGGTGAATGGAAATGTGATATTGTGCTGGAGGAATTGGGATCTATTTATAATGGTGAAATTAGATCATTATTAGGATTAAAATGAGTTCTCTAGTAGTCAGGAACTTCTTTATTCTTCCCCACGAGTCACTATGACTTTTATGATTTTAAGGCTGACTTTATGAGACTTCTGTGGCAATCCAGTGGTTAAGACTCCACACTTCCACTGCAGGGGGCATGGGTTTGATCCCTGGTCAGGGGACCAAGATCCCGCATGTTGTTCAAACAAACTAACAACAACAGAAACCTACCTCAGACTTCATGATCCCACTTAAGAAACAACTCATGAAACCTTGTTTACCAGCTGTAAAGAAGTTGAATGTTTTGGTTTTTAGAAATCTTAGTAATTCATAGTTATTGAATGAGTGTATCACTCGAAAAAAAAAAAAGCTCTTGGTGTGGTAAAACAGAAGACATGACCTGTGATTCATTTGAGAAATGACAAAGTTATCTATTTTTTAACACTTTACCCCCCCAAAATACCTAGTATAAAACAACGGTTTGAATTTTCATTTCAATGAAAGAGTGTGTAAAAGAGGTGATGTCTATCTGGACTGTACTCATTTAAAGATTCTCATTAAAAAAAATTATTTGGCTGCACCAGGTCTTAGTTGCAGCATGCAGGATCTTTGATCTTTGTTGCAGCATGTGGGATCTTTAGTTGTGACGTGCAGACTCTTAGTTATGGCATGTGGGATCTAGTTCCCTGACCAGGGGTCGAACCCGGACCGCCTGTATTGAGAGTCCAGTCTTAGCCACTGGACTACCAGGGAAGTCCCAAGATCAGGAAATTAAGGTCAGGGTCATTTCTGAGTAAAGAGTAAGATGATGGGAATTTAGTCAATGCCATAAGTGGAATCATCTTTCCTATTAAGTAGTAATTAACCCTTAAATAACATTTACTATGGGGTAGACAACTCTGTGTGGTATTATTAACTCCATTTTAAAGATGAAAACAGCACCGAACATAACCAGCTGGTCTAAAGTCACCTCTATGGGATGTGGCAGAGGGCAGAAGTGAAACTTGGCTGTCTGATTCCAGGGTTTGTGCTCGGAACAGTAACAGAAAAGTAGTGGAGTGATGGTGATAGCAAAAACAACCCCCCAGCGCTCAGACCAAATGGGGTTACAGAGATAGAAGAGACACAAAGACAACAGTCAAGACACCAAAGAGACAAGGAAATACTTCCAACCCCCTCTTCCTCCATTCCTCCTACCACTGTATCGTCCGTGTCACCAGGGAAGCCCTCCTACCACTAGAGAATGCTTTTGTCATTGTTGGTGGTAGAACTCTATAATTATATATATAACAATTTATTGGTACCCGCTGGGGATGGGGAGAAGGGTCAAGTCGGTATAACGTTTGTACTTAAAAGAATGATGATGATTGAAAGGAGAATTGCCATGCTGATGATTATGATCTTTTTGCAGTGTTTCCGCCATATCCTCCTAAGAATCTGTATTGTTTGGGGGGATTCTTTGGCCTGAAATTAAAAAAAAAACAAATTTCATGATTTCTTCTGATTTCTGGATTAATATGTATCCTACAATACATATTAGAACTATTTAGAAGAATGGATTTAATTTGATTTTGATCAGTCACAAAGTCTCAGTAGGTCTGAGCAGCTGTTCTAAAACGATGCACCAAGATTCCTTATGGTGTTCAGCTGTAGTTTTATTGGCTTTGTAAATTTGTGACCTTTAAAAGTTACTCTCTGAACTCCAGTTTCCTCATCTTCATGATTTTACAAGTGTCACTCTCCCTTACAACCCTATTTAAAATTGCTAACTCCTCTCCATTCCAGCAGCCCTCTTCCCTCTCAATACATTATTTTTTCCCAAAGTACTTACCTCTCCTCTAACAATATGTAAATTTTACTTTTATTGTTTGTTGAGAATGTAAGCTCTATGAAGGCAGGAATTTTTGTCTGTTTCTTTCACTGCTATAGTCCCAACAGTGAACCAACGATATACAGCAGGTGTTTAGTTAATATTTGTTGAAAAAAAAAGAATGACTAAATCTGCTTATTAAGTAAGGATAATAGCACTTGCCACAGAGTAGCCCAGATTGTGAGAATTAACCAAGATAGTGAATACAGTATATCAAGACTGGATATATGAATAAATTATGCTATTATTCATATTTTGAGGGATGATGAGATGGATTTCCTTAAGTATAATACAAAAAGTTTCATATCTTCACCTAATTAACCTAAACAAAATAGCTCACTTTTATTAACTATTATTAAAATTGTTGAAAGAATTCAAGGAGCAATGACGAGAAATGAAACGTGGCCATGCAAAATTACAAAACTCTTCTGCCCACCCCCCTGAAGTAAGCTTTATTGTTTTCATTTGGTCCACTCCTTTTTGTTTTTAAAATACATGTAACTGCTTTTCATCTAGTCATGATACAAGTGAATTGCTTGATGCTTATATGGATTTCTGCTGTCCTCCACTTGGATGAGGAAAACTATCCTATTTCAGTTATCTTTCTTCATGCATCAGGTCTGCTGCTTTAGTCTCAGTGTACAGTGATTTTCCAGGAACAAAATCAAGGTAGGTGCTTGCAGTGCTTACTGTTAAGTGGCATGAGTCCTGGCATGCCACTCAGATGGCCTCATGACTCTAGTTTATGACAAGTTATGGGAGCCCAGGTTTGTATATCCAAGATGATGTTGATTATTCCCAAAGACTTGGAGTATGGAAGCTAGCGACTAGGTGTACTTTTCAATGTGTTACAATGCTTTAAGTACAGGTACCATAGGATGTGCATTATATGTATTTATGCACGATACTATGTAATACTTATAATAACCTTAGATTAATATTCCTGTTTTACAGTGTTGAAGAAAAATGAGGCTCAGAAAGGTTGAAGTTACTGGCCTCAGATTTAGAGAAAGTGATGGAGCTGGAATTTAGATCTAGAATTGTGTGACTCTATACTGCCTTGTGTAGAAATATTGAATTAAGGTATAAATGGGCTTTACATTCTTCTCTTGGATTATTCTCTTTTATTAATGTAACATGCATGTACAGTTTGGGCAGTCAGAATCCTATAAGGCATGTGAGTAAAAAGCACCTTCTCCTGTCCTTTCCACCCCAGCCCTATTTTTCAGAGGTAATCACTTTCAGCTCTTGTTTGTGTGTTTTGTTAGTTGCTGTATCCCTATTACCTGGAACAGTGGTTCTCACCTGGGGATGCTTGTGCCTTCCCGAGAGCACTGGGCAATATCAGGAGACATTTTTGCCTGTCATGAATGTAGGGGGTGCTACTGGGCGTCTAATGGCTAGGAGCCAGGAATGCTGTTGAACATCCTACAAGGCCTAGGGCAGTCCAAAGTGTGCCATGGTTGAGAAACCCTGACCTAAAACAGTGTCTGACATATAGTGGGTGATCAGTAAATACTTGCTCAATACACCTCATTTAACTGTTTATTTTTTCCTGGGCTCTTCCTGGACCAGGGATTGAACCCGTGTCCCCTGCATTGCCAGGCAGATTCTGAACCACTGGACCACCGGGGAAGTCCCTTCTGCTTTATCTTGGAAGTTCCACACGGAGTCTTTTGATCTGCTCCAGTGGGTGTTGGTTGGGGTCCAGGTTTGCTGTACCTAAAGCTTTAATCTTCAGATCTTTCTTCACCAGTATTCTGGGCATGCCCTTTCTCTTGTGTTTGCTTCCTGTTTTTTCAATCCCATTTCTTTTCATTTCTTGATTTATTCCCTCTTGTTGGTAAAAAATTTCTTCTGAAAATTTCTTAGAAAGAGTGACTGGGAGGTAAGTTTCTGAAAATTTACATGCCTAGAAATGTCCTTATTCTACCCTTACATTGAGTTGGTAATTTGGTTATATAAATCTAGTGTGGAAATAATTTTCTTTCAGAATTCCAAAAGCATTCCTTCTTTTTGCTTTAGCACACCTATACTATTTTTGCAAAATCTGTTGTTATTCTAATTGCCAAGTCTTTGTGTTTCTTTCTCCATCTGAAAGCCTTCAGAATTCTCTCATCCTTTTTAACATTCTATAATTTCAAGATTATATGCTCTGCTATGGTCCTTTTTTGTTGTTCATTGAATCTGTAAATTCACGATATTTGTTTTAGGAATTTTTCTTGTATTAATCTGGTTTTCTCTCCTCTGATTCCTTCATTTCCTTTTTCTGAAACTCCTGTTATTCATATGTTGGATCTCTTAGACTATCCTCTTTCTTCTCTCTCTTTTTTTGCTCTACTCTCTGAGAGAATATCTCAACTTTATATTTCAATAATTCTATTTAATTTAAAAATTTTACTACTGTTTTAATTTCCAAAAGATCTTTTTGTTTTATGAATAAGTTTTTATATAGTTTTCCATTCTGTTTTCAGAGTTGTATTATATTCTGTTATTTCTCCCAGGACATTAGAGAGTTCTTTTTCTTCTTTTTAAGTACAGTTGATTTACAATATTGTGTTAGTTTCAGGTATATACCACAGTGATTCAGTAATATATATATATCTTTTCAGATTCTTTTCCCTTATAGGTTATTACAAAACATTGAGTATAGTTCTCTGTGCTATATAGTAGGTTATTGTTGGTTATGTATTTTATAGAGAGGAGTATGTATATGTTAATCTCAAGCTCCTAATTTGTCCTTCTCCCCTAGAGAGGATTATTATTAACAGTTTATTTTTTTCCCATGCCA